ATAAAAAAAAAAAAAAAAAAGATGTGAACCTTGTAGTTTTGTCTAAAGGAGAAAAAAGCGGTAAAAGGGAAGTCACAAAAGCAAATCAAGCAGCACTGAATAACTTGATTGAGAAACTGAACAGTGGTGGAGATGAAAAACTTATTTCTAAACTGGCTAAAAGATGACAGGTGAAAACCCACATTGCTAGTGATGGGAAAAGTGGATTGGCAGCTGATCCCAAAGAAATTTTGCATGCCTGGAAGACATATTTTGAGAAATTACTGAATGCAGAATTTCCCAAGAACTTACCACATGTGTTGGCACTATAAATCAAGATGAAATTCCAGCAGTTAGCACAGATGAAATCAGGAAAGCTCTAAATAAATTGAAAAATGGAAAGCAACAAAACCAGATGAGCATTAGGAGTTGCAGGTACAGGGTGGCTCTTCCATTTAATCCAGGAAGTCATACTGGAATTCGTACTCCAGATGAACAGCAACCCAGTCAAATATCACCCACCCCAGAGAGTAGGGAATGTAGATGCTCCAACCACAAAAAGTGACCTCAGCACTCCTTGAAAATACATAAGACTATTGAAGTTGGAAGCACCACAGAAACCAGTGATAATTAGTTTGATTTGAAGAAAAGAGCACAGTAGAAAAGAGCACAGTAGAATCACTACCAAAAAACAGAGAGAAGAATACACTGCTGTACATGGTCTTAATCAACCTAGAAAAGGCATTTGAGCAGGTCCCAAGACAAGCTGTGCAGTGGAACTTGAGGAAAAGGAAAATACCAGAAAAGTGCATCACACTAATAAGGTCTAATCAAACGGCCACACAAGTTGGAACAGGTACCTTTTGCAGCGGTGTATTCAGGACCCTGCACTTAGTCTGCTTCTCTTAATTGCAATGGATATCATCAGTGAAGAAGATAAAAGATCTGCACCATGGCATATGATGTTTTCAGATGATATCATGATATGTAGAAAGACTTTTGAAGACGTATAAGAAAACTTCATAGACTGGCAGGTTGCACTTCAGATCAAGGTTCTTAAAACTAATGCAACTAAGACAGAATTTGTGGGCTGTAGAAATGCAACTGGAGGTACAATAGAAGATATGAGCAGAAACTTAGTGAGAATCATTGTTAGAAATACCTGGGTCCTATTATAAATGAAGAGAGGCCACTAGATGAGTTGCAAAAAAAACAAACAATGCACAGAATAAATGGAAGGAAGTATGGGGCATGATGCATTTAAAAAGGATGTCATCTGGATATACAAGATTTGTACTAACTTATGACTTGGAAGGGTAGGTCTTAACCCAAAGGATCAAAGAGGATTAAACACCACCAAAGTGTACATGCTGACCATGTGCATGGTTAAAAGGATGGACAAGAAAACCTTCATTT